TATCGGCCGCCATTTTATATCCAGAATTTTATTGAAAATTTTGAATTTCGGCCCCAAAAATGAAGGAATAGTCACTCGAGAAATGTTTATTTATGAAAAATACATAAGTTAACACATTATAGATACAAAAAAATGACATGCAAATCATTACGCACCCATCAATTAAGCTGCTTTGCACCGAACAGTCCAAGTTTAGGGTGTCCTCTGTCCTTTTATATTCCAATAAACTGTTTTAACGATTCGAATTCGTCTCCGTCACAACGTTGTATTGTGTAAAAAGGCTTGTCCAATAAGCATTTCGCTATTTCATACAATCTCCTTTAATATAAATATCAGATATGGTGAATTGGAAGCATCACCATACTACCATAGGATCTTCTTCCAAATTCGAGCTAAAAATCTATCATCTACACTCCATAATCGGCACTTTCTTCAAGATTTCACAGATACACACCTATCGCTAAAGCAAAAATGTCCATACGTAGATGGAATGCTAGTAAAATTGATCACTTTTACCTGCTGCAGGTAGGTAGTACAAAAACCTCTTCTCCAGAGCTTATCTGCCGCTACTATGAGGTACATTTTTACCTAGGAATCGTTTGACGTGTCGACGAGCACGTCCCAACCCAACAGTTTTAATTTATACTTTAGGACTAATTAATTGGGGATGCCTTAAGTGTGTGAAGAAGGTTTCTCTATGTATCTGTACTTGTAACCTAACAAAAATAGGGGGTAATTTATTCGTAAATCACTACAGCTACACGAAACCCTTACCTCATTAAACGTAATTAGCTAGCCCATAAAGTATAGATATGGGTAGGAAATATACACAAAGACAGTCCATTAAATTGGTGTTAGGTCACCAAACTTTTGTCATTTAAAGGTGTTAGATGAGTTTATTGGGTGTCGTTCGATATGTCGGAATTATTATTACATTCTTCTGTACGGTATAATAGGTTTTAATCTCTTCGATAATACTCAAAAAGGATAAAAAACGAAAAATTTTCCAATATATTTTTCGAAAACTAACCACCATATATCATCGTAAGATGGCGTCGTCGTCGGTCGAGCGAGGGCTCGGGGCAATGTTGCCGCTTGCGTGTGTCGCGGATTACGGTGTTGCCCAGAGAATAATATATTATTTTGTTACGCATACCAATGTCTAAAAAATGTACACAAAGATCTTTAAAATCTATTAGATTTTCGATATACATAATTGCGATTACGTATAGGAAACGGGAGACTTTTTAGCGAACAATAAGTGGCTGCTCTGTGTACACCGGGTGTACACTAGGTGTACACCGTCTTACTCTCGCCGGAAACGTCCGGCCATTTTTGCTTCTCTCATATAAAATTTTGTCTATGGTCGACATCTGTCAAAGTTATTGACGTTCGCTGAATATAGATGGCGCTGTCCAGAATTTTATTAAAAATTTTGAATTTCGGCCCCAAAAATGAAGGAATAGTCGCTCGAGAAATATTTATTTATGAAAAATACATAAGTTAACACATTATAGATACAAAAAAATGACATGCAAATCATTACGCACCCATCAATTAAGCTGCTTTGCACCGAACAGTCCAAGTTTAGGGTGTCCTCTGTCCTTTTATATTCCAATAAACTGTTTTAACGATTCGAATTCGTCTCCGTCACAACGTTGTAGTGTGTAAAAAGGCTTGTCCAATAAGCATTTCGCTATTTCATACAATCTCCTTTAATATAAATATCAGATATGGTGAATTTGAAGCATCACCATACTACCATGGGGGCTATTTTCAAACTCGAGAGAATTCATTTCTCTCAAGAGAAATGTCATACGTCAACGTAAAACCGTATTTTTAGGGCTCTTCGGGCCAGTGTGAACTCACTGACTGTTTCTCTCGGTTTATTTAGAGAGAATTAAAATCTTCCTAAGAATTTTAATCCTCGATGCCTTTAAAAACAACATTTCCACATTGACGTATGACATTTCTGATGAGAATCTTGAGAGAAATGAGTGCTCCCATACTTTGAAAATAGCTCCCCATAGGATCTTCTTCCAAATTCGAGCTAAAAAGCTATCATCTACACTCCATAGGGTCAGTGCACTGGTTTTCGGCCTTTTAGCGTAAAAATCGACTTTATCTTCCAAATAGATATAGAGGAAGTCTTTAAATTGTAATTTGCTTTTATAAAAAAATGTCCGTTGGAGTGTTTTCTAGTGGTTTAGAAATGAATTTTTGTTGTGTTTTTAACTTTATAGTATTGAAACATTAAAAACTAAAAAAAGTGCGTATTTGTTGGTTCTCAGCCACCCCTCACAGTTCTCGGCCAATTTTATATTAGTTCTCGGCCACACAAAAACCAGTTGTTAAAACCATTATAATTAAAAAAAACCATGTCAACCATACTTTCTCCGACTTTCCCAAAATCCAACGCACCTGGCACATTATCAATGACAGACCTAATATAGTGGAGGAGCAAATTTTCCTTTAGCATTAAACAAGAATTATAAAAATGTTTTTTTTATGATTTCGAAAAACTTTTAGACCAAACACTTTGCCACTAGAGTGACGGAGTGCGAAACCTGATTACTCTTCATTGAACACTCTTCTAGGATATTAGGATTACAAAACACAAAATATTCTCATTTAAATATTGTTCTAGGTTCTGAAACCATTTTCTCACAGATTGTTATGTAACTGCTGTTTAAGCTTTATTTATTCCATCGGCTATGAAATTCATCTACCATGTTTTGGTATTCCGCCTTTAAATAAATTGAGATTAGAATCTGCATTTATCTTAGAAACTGTATCCAAAAGCATCTGTCTCCCCTTTAACCGCTAAATAGTGGTGTTGGGCCTGTTTTTCTCAACACATCCAAAATTCTTACTGCAAGCAGCCTGTCCTGCAAAGGCATTTTTCTAATCTTCCTCATTTTATGATAATTCACTCTTCAATACGCCAAAGAAACCTCACTCATGTTAAAGGCCGAGAACTAAAACCGCTGTAAATATTAGTTTTCGGCCCCCATATTTTTCGTAGTGGCCGAGAAACGCTAGTTCTCGGCCACTAGGTTTTTAAAGGGCCGAGAACTAAAATCACTGTACATATTAGTTTTCGGCCCCACATTTTTTGGGTTGGCCGACAAGCGCTAGTTCTTGGCCACTACATTTATCAAAATATTTATTAATCAAATAAACTACATTTCATACTTAATTTACCGGCCGCAAACCAATACTTAAAAAGTAATCATGTAAATAAACATAAAAATAAAAACAAAAGCACATTTAAACTCGTTTTTCATAATTTTATTTAAGATCAAAACTTTACTTCTTAAATTAATTCTCGGCCCCTTTGGCCGAGATCTAAAAAAACATATTTTTTTAATACTGGTTCGCGGCCACTAGAAATTTTAATTATAAAACCAGTTTTTGCTCAATTGTAACACAAATTTACATAGTTTAACCCCTCATCTACTATTTGAAACATATTGCATGCACCTGGAATAAAAAAATAATCAAATATTTACTATTTCGTTGATTCACACTATTAGGCACTTTTACATTTAAAACGCATGTGTTTTCTGCTGATTGTCAGGACAAGAAAGAAGCCTTTTTCCCGCGCTTATCCCTTACAATACCAAACCAACCCCTACCACTTTGGATAGATAACAGATGCCGGGAACTTGTTTAGTACTGACAATAAGCCCATGACACTTTATTTTCTTATTATTTGGCCTTAAACGATAAAAAGGCCGAGATCCAGTGCTGGCCGGATAACCAGTGAATTGACCCTACATTGTGTTCGGTCTGCCAAGTTCCTTTAACTCCTTTAACACTTTTAACTCCAAACGACCCTTTTAGCGTTAGGTTTAGTCCGATTAGTGACAGTTTAACACGCTTAAATGTCATTTAAAAGCACCCTAAAATTTGTCCCGCTCCAGCCCCTGGCCCCCTGACTGATCGAACTCGCCTATAGTCGGCACTTTCTTTAAGATTTCACAGCTTACGAACAACTCAACTGTGACTTATAAAAAACCAGTTTGTAGAAAATTCAAAGATGAATTTAATGATGCAAACCACTTCTTTCTAGTTAAAACGATAGCCAAGTTATAGTGTAAATGAGAGAGTGAGAGTGAAAATCTCATTTCCTAGCCTTATGAACAACTCAACTGCGAGTTTTAAAAAACCAGTTTGTAGAGAATTTAAAGAGGAATTTAATGATGCAAAAAACTTCTTCCTAGTTGAAAGGATAGCCAAATTATAGAGTGTAAGTGAGAGATTGAGAGTGAAAATCCCATTTTCTAGCCTTACGAACAACTCAACTGTGACTTTTTTAAAAAACCAGTTTGTAGAGAATTTAATGATGCAAACCACTTCTTCCTCTAGTTGAAACGATAGTCAAATTATAGAGAGTGGAGTGAGAGTGAAAATCCCATTTTGTAGGAAATTTAAAGAGGAATGTCAAATTTCTTGAATAGGGGCCATTTTAGGAAAATTTTGTATTAAGCAAAAATTATACATAGGTAATATCATAATATTGTAACTTTTATTTAAAGAATTTTCTTCTCGGTAAATAACAGATATATTTAAATGACCACCCATAAAGTATCCCCCCACATTTTCTGACTCTGCCCAAAATCTAATCAGTTCACTGGAGGCCAGTATAAAGCTTAAAATTTGGTGTATTTCTCTGTATTCGTTCATCGAGGATAAAGACACACACACATAGACATCATCGCAAAAATAGTCAAAACGGATTCAGGGGACCCCAAAACGTAAAAAACCGTCGAAAAAAAAATCATGATTCCTATACTTTCCTTATCTGTATACAGATAGGAAAGTAAAAATAGTACCTACCAAATATTTTTATAACAGAACATTTTGGACCTTAGTTTATAAAGCAGTCTATCATTAATTTTCCATGTAAATGCACACCATTAGCATCCTGTAGAGTTAATATTATTTGCTTACTCAAAAATATGATTAAATACTTATTTAGTCTTAAATGAATAGAATTCAAAGTGTACCATTTTATTTAATAAATTTTTACATGTGATGTGTTCTTAAAAACTGAATGAAATTTGAACGTGATTTCTCTAATATCCTACAGCATTCCTGTTTAATATAAATTAATTTATGTTCAGGCTCGGCTAGTGTTAGCAATGGGTTATCATTGAATCCATCCACATCTTCGATCATATCTAAAAGTAAATCTTCATTATATTCTTTGGTACTGTGTGCTTGTTCCCACAGTTTAAATGCATTACAATTAGGGGGACTATATTTCTTGAGGTAATTATTGTAGATTTGTTTACATCTTGTATTTTGCAATACATTACTTATTTTGTCATTAAATCGATCTATATCTTGATCAGTAAATCTCATAGCTGCCATAAGTTACCACCTAAAATAAAATAATTCAAGTTTTATGTTTGTCCAATGCCAGATAATATTTTGTACATCTTCTGGGGCTTAATTTTAATAGGAAAAGATTTTTGGTCTTATGAAAAAAATGTACTTTAGAATGTGCCTTAAAACCCAAAATGTACCTGCATATTTTATAAATTTCAGCTTATAGATTAAATTTAACTTAATTGCTACAGAACTGGACGCAAAATTTGAATGTATCTACATAATATTAATTGTTAAAATAAATATTTCTAAGTTATGTTATCACATAAGCTTTGTTTTGGTTCACTTTCGTAACTGTTCTAGAACTCTTCCAGAACCTTGGGAGCATGGCAGTAGATATCAGCTTTGTTTTGGTTCACTTTCGGAACTGTTCTAGAACTCTTCCAGAACCTTTGGAGCATGTGCAGTAGATATTTGCTGTTTTGGTTTCGCCAGAACTGTTCCGAACCTGCAAGTTCTGCTACCCGATTCTGATTGACGTTTTCAAGACGTGATGTCCCGAGTTTACAATTTGAGCGATTCTAATTCCAACTTACGTTCCAGATGTCTCGAGTATAGCTGTCAAATTCACTCGGGACCTAAAGAGGTAGCGTAACGTGAGTGAAATTAGTAAAAGTATGGTTAAGAAATGCTTTATTTTGATATTTTTGAGTTGAAATTAAAAAAATGAGTTTTCAAAATAATCCAGAACATTTGTCTACAATTTTAAATATAATGTGTGAACACGAACATTTTGCAAGTGGCATATTTTTAATTATTCCTCATTGTATTTTTTTTTGTAGGAGTTATGTTTTATTTTAACCACATTATAAAAAAATTAGTAAACCCAAAAACAATATTTTTTCCTAATATTACAGAAGAAAACCAAATACAGCATACATTAATTTATTTAGGAAATATAATTTATTATTTGTATAATTTTTTTTTTATTTAATACTGAATATATACAGAATAGGCTCAATTTATAATACAAACAGTTATACAATAATATAAATAAGAAATGTTTAAAGTTCAGAAATATAAAATGCCAGGCACTCAAAAATGAGGACAAAAATACTTCAAGATATAGATGTAATACCAATCATATAAAACATTGACTACTGGAACACTGACAATAAAGCATTAAAATATCTATTTAGGTACAATACCTATTATTTCTTGTTTTATTAATTCTAAAAACTCAATAAGCCATGCCTCTGGTATATTTTCTAAATTAAACCTTCAAAACAAACCATGCTGCACCAAGCGTTATCGTAGTTTTCGTAGCCGTTACTCGAGAGATGATTAGAATCAAATTTTAAACGGTACCGAAAAGGGTACCCGATGTGCCTGTCGAACGGTAGGTAGAGAAACGGGACGTAACGTAACAACTAATCAGAATCGCACTGCTGTGTTTTGGTTTTTCTTGGGAATGGTTCCATAACCATTCTCGAACAGTAACGTCGGTTCTAGCCTAAAGCGAGAACGGTTTCAGAATCGATATGTTTGCGCATGCGCTTATTTGCAAATAGATTTGTTTTTGAGATTCTGGCCATGTTTTGTGTTGGAATTTTTACAAGGAATTTTCAAATGACTAATGAGGATGGAGTAGTTGATGTTGGGTCATAAGATTGTTACGAATAAATTATTTAATTTATCTACGTTTTATAATATTATGTGGCCTCTTTCTTGCGTAGACACTGACCCTGTGTTATTTCTTCTTTCTTATTTATAATTTACTTTTTGGCAATGTTTTGGTTTCGAATACAATGGAATGGTTACAGAACTGTTCAGAATTAAGGACCATTGCGCAATAGTTCTGCGCATGGTTCTGGAACAATTCTAGAACGTGAACCAAAACAAACCTATCGATATTTGTGGTTCTCGCCGTTCTCGCTTTAGGCCAGAACCGACGTTACTGTTCGAGAATAGTTATGGAACCATTCCCAAGAAAAACCAAAACACAGAACTTGCAGGTTCGGAACAGTTCTGGCGAAACCAAAACAGCAAATATCTACTGCACATGCTCCAAAGGTTCTGGAAGAGTTCTAGAACAGTTACGAAAGTGAACCAAAACAAAGCTATTTGCTGTTTTGGTTTCGCCAGAACAGTTCCGAACATGCAAGTTCTAGGTTTGTTTTAGGTTTGTTCCAATGAACTGGAGTGGGGTAGAATGCTTGTCAGTAGGCTTGAGATGCGACTCTATGGGCGAAGACAGGTTATTTTTCATCTCACTCGGGAGTATTTATAACGACCATTTTCTATTTCACTTTGTTATTGTCTGATCCACCGCTTGTGAATTGAACAATAACAATGTGAAACAGAAAATGGTTATTATAAATACTGCCGAGTGAGATGAGAAATAAAAATGGCTGCTTATTTGGTTCATTTACATAAATTTAGTCAATTTAAAAACATAAAAACTTTTAGCACTAGCGAGATACATTTTGGATTAAAAAAATTATGCCTCTAAATGTCAGCAACACATTATACATTATACTAAATATTGTATTTGAACATTTTCTTAACTCTACCTATAAATATATCTGTTAGTAGTGAAAGTGATGAGATTATGAGCACTCCACCAGAGATTTTAGAAATAGCTCAAGCTGCCACACATAATTTGCTACCGCTAAAATCCAAAAAAAGGTACGAAATTACCCATCGAAAATTTATGTATTAGCGACACAAGCATATGTCCTTTATTTAATAGAAGAAAATAAGTGGGCGTAGAAAAAGTATAGTACGTTACACGAGTTGTAAGCCCATTACGCACTTGTAAAATTTACGCACTTCGTGCGTAATGGGTTACTTACAACTCTTGTTACGTAATATACTATTATATTTCATTGTTTGTGTCTTTATGTATTCCAAATATTTGTATACTTACATGGACAGCTTAGTATATAAAATATCATTTATTAAAAATCTACACCAGAATATATTTATGACCGATGTAAATCTAAGTTCAGGTCATTTTTGTCCTGAATAACTGGATCTAGACAAAATATTTTTATGCTACTCAAAGTTCTATAAATTTGTTTATACAATTTTAAACTATCACAAGAATGGATTTTACTATACACGCGACTTTTTTTCCAGAAATTATTTTTTAAATCCTGATATATCTTTTCATTACACCCTGTAAAACAACTCGTACCTGATTTTAGTTATAATTCAAATTAAAAAATTAAATTAAATTCAAAACACACCACATCCAAATGAATTTCTTGAGTACGGATCTTCCCATTGGTAACATAATTATCAAAATGCGGGCCTGATTTCTATAATTCGAACATGGCCGCCCAATCGTGCCGACCTTCCTCCATGGTGCCGACACCGAGTTTGTTCTCTGTACTTACATCCTCTGTGTCTGTGCTTCGCTTATAGCAAATTTGGCAACTTTCTGTCAAGAAAAATGGCGACCAGCTCAAGTCAAACTTCAGTGCCGTGGCCAAATACTAAAGATGATTACGAATTGGGAAAAGTTATCGGTCAGTATTTATTATGTTTCTGTTCGTTTTGAAAAATTCTCTGATTTGATGTATATAATGTCCATAGTCCAATTAGTTAAGTTATAGAAAAAATAAAAGTTTTAAATATTTTTAGGTTATGTACTTTTTTGGTGTTTTCATTCCGGTACAATTTTTTATAGGTAATCAGTAAATTATAGATTTTCTAATTAAGGAATTGGAAATTTTACCTTTATTTCTACTTTCGATTTCCCTACTAACAATTGACCATGTATAGTTTGAATTATATATGGGTTCAAATTGAAAATGTATACCTTACATACCTACTTGCATAAATAGAATTGTTTGTGTCTTTTTAATTGCTCTGATTTAGTTATATTATATTTGATTAACCCTTTTTTTTTCACAAAATTTAAGTACTGTTTATTTTTAATTTACTGAAATATATAAAATGGAGCAATATAAAAATATTTATTGTTGACACTAAGTTTAAAAATAATTATATATATTCTTGTTCCTTATTTTTTTTTACAATTTGCTTCTTTAGGCTTAGTTACTTCAGGTTTTTTCTATTATTGTTAAAAATCAACCATAACATAAAAATTAAACCAACAATAATTTATAAATATCGGCAACAAGTAGTAATTTCCAGAGTTTAAAATTTAGCAGACAAAAAGTATAATTTGATATACCCTTGTTCTATAACCGTTAAGTTATTTTTAGGGGTGGGGGCCACTGCTACTGTACACGGTGCCTTTTGTAAGCCAAGAAATGAGAAATGTGCTATTAAAAGAATCAACTTAGAAAAATGGAACACATCCATGGATGAACTGCTGAAGGAAATTCAAGCAATGAGCAGCTGTAATCACGAAAATGTTGTAACTTACTATACCAGCTTCGTGGTCAGAGAAGAACTATGGCTTGTCTTGAAATTGTTAGAAGGTAATTTATTTAAATCTTTTTAACAGTATTTACAACTGCCCCTAGAAGAAAAAAATATATTTATTGGGTACTCCCACTGCCAAAGGGCTATCAACTGAAGTCTTTTGGCCCATATTTACAGTTATGTATGTGTATGTATAACAATTGACAATTATCAATATATAATACAACAACAAAAAAAGAAAGTTAATCTTAGGTTATCTGTCTTTTGATGGATACAAAAATGGTAAGCCCAGGATAACAATGTCTTCTAGTAAACTGGATGGGAGTCATTAATGCCTGTCTCTTAATAATGTTAATATTAATTGGTTTGTTGACAAATTTCTGTTATAGATTCCAGTGTTTTCTCATGTAATGAGGGTTATGGGGTGGATTATCAGGATGTCTTATTTTAGTAATGGGTCTTAGGGACTTATTTGTGCTATTCTATCTGCAATGATTCCTATAGGTATTTGTGATAAAAGTATAAATGTTGCACAAAAATTGAGAAATTGGTGAACCTTGGCGGACTTAGCACATTGTTGACTTTAATTTTGCTTTTTCTTTCATCAAAAAAAAAAAAAAAATTAAGGAGCCAGATGAGGTGATGTGGGCATTTTTCACTTGGTATGATTTATATTATAATCCTCTGTGCCAATTGTAATCAAATATTTTATTTATATCTAAGCATATCTTTGCTGTTTTGTAACTTTACAAGAAGTTTAGTTAATAGATGGATCGTTTATGTTTATTCTCTTAAACCATACTGTGTTTGTGGAATAATATTTCTTGTGTTGTTCATTGACAGTGTGTATCTAGGTACTGTTATTAAAGACGTACTCGAAGAGCATGTCTTAATTCATTATACAAAATGTCTTAAAACGTTTTATACAAATGGGATAAAGTTGTAAGTTATAGGATATTCTGTGCAATGGATTATATCTTAACAATGTCTGACCAGGCATTATTGTCTTCCAGCATGTTGCAATCCATTATACAGTATATTAAAAAGTTTTATACAAATGGGAAAAAAATTATCTTACACATTTTTAAAACACACCCTGTACAATGGATTGTACAATGTATACATATTCAACAATGTGTTTTCAAGCATTGTTATGTCTCAAAATAGTTTAATGCAAATGGGAAAGTTTTATCTTATATTTTGGGACACTCGCAAATTATGAGATAAAACTTAAAGAGCAAAAATTGCAAGCTGCTAATCACCTCCTCAAAATATATTTTACATGGACAGGCACAAGTGGCAAAGGTTACAACTATTTTTACACAAAGAGTTTGAATTTCAAACCCTAATTTGCATACATTCATAAACTTTTATGCCGCGCCGTTTTTCCATTAGCTTCAGTATCATAAACTGAAGATATACTTAAACGATTTTTCCTACATTTTAGGTGGCAGTCTTTTGGATATAATAAAACACAAAATGAGATCATCCAATTGTAAGCATGGGGTTTTTGATGAAGCCACTATTGCAACGGTCCTAAAAGAGGTTCTAAAAGGCCTGGAGTACTTTCATAGTAATGGTCAAATACATAGGTAGGTGAACTGAAAAAGTATAAAAAAAGTAACTGAAGATTCTGTGACCAAAATGTAAAATTTTTCAAAGTAATCCTTAAGTTCCCCCTACAGAAAATAATCCAAATCCCTCACAGTGACAAAAATAGTCGATTCTTTTTGATTAATTGATTATTTTTGGTCAATTTATTCTTTCAGATTAATCGATTATGACTAATTCTTTTCAATTAATCGATAGTAACCGATTCTTTTCATTTAATCAATTATTTTTGAATAATCGGAACAGAATCGATTGTAATCGATTAATCTAAAAGAATCGATTAATTGAAAGAAAACAATTAATCGAAAAGAATCGATCGAGCAAAAATAATCAATTAATCGCAAAGAATAGATTATTTTGAATAACCGATTATTTACATTGATAATCGCCCAATTCAAGGGATTTGGATTATTTGCTGTAGGCTTACTTTTAAAAATGTT